GAGGCTTGGGGCGTGGTATTAGGGGCTGGTAGGAGCCACGCATAGCCCATAAGGCTAGGGTGCCTGAGGAGCACCCATTATACCGGGAGACCCCCAGGGGGTCTGGAAGAACCGCGGGGACAGAGGTCCCGAGTAGCCGTGCCCAGGGAGTCATAGGCAGCCTCCCAACTATATATATACTCCAACAAGACATGGCGGGCGAGAATCAGAGGGGGCCTTGGGCTGGCCTGACACGGAGCGAGGGACCTTAAGGAGCACACGGCCCTCCGCGAGGACCCCGCCGTGACACTCTCCTTCCTTCCTTCTCTCTTTCTCTCTCGCCTTTTCTCTTTCTTTCTCTCTCTCTCCCTCCCTTTTTCTTCTATGTTTTAACATGTTACCACTTTACTTGTTGCAACAGGACTGATTCAAATCTCCAAGCAGTAGCTCACATCAGCAGTGCACCAATAATAACCTATCAAAAACAATCAGTTTTCAAAGCCAATTTGACAGTGGGAAGGGAATCGACTTTGTTTTTGCATCCACTCTTTCATCCAAATATTTGAAATTCTCTGAACATTTTATCACAAGGAGAATATCTGCCATAGTGATAGAATTATATGTGCTGTTAACATTATCTTCTTTCTGAGCCAATATATTTTCAGTATGAAATTTTATAGGGTTTTCCCAAACACCCGCCAGTGAAACTCTCAAGGAGTTAGTTGTTAGCTTTCTGATAAATGCATATGGGCCTATAACCAAGTAACTGGAATTAAAAGGATTTGGCTCTTGATATATTTTGAAATTGAAACTGTCCTTTGTGGATCATTTCTACAATATTCTAAAAATAGTCTATACAGCAGCTGCAATATAAGCATGTGATTTAAGATCATGATGGTCATGCAGGTAACTCTGGTTCTCCTAATCTTCCCCAATGGAGAAAGCTTGGCATCCAAGCTTTCTGATGCTCTCATTCATCATGTCTCGTCTATAACTTGGTTCCGGATTTTATGGCCCAGTACAACCACTCTGCACTAAGGGGCATAAAAGGGCCAGAAACTAGACTTGCTTACCCTTTGCTGCACCCATCTCATGTTACTAAGGAGGATGCCCTCACCAAGAACCCTGACTGGTTTCAGCAGGGGCTCTGCCTGCCTGAGGACTGCGAAAGCAGACTATTGTAACTTGATACTGGAAAGCTGTGTTCCCACTGAGCATTGCTGGATTTGTGGGTGCTCAGCTCCCTTCAAAAACCAGACTGCTTCTCTCCACGGGTACATTCTTCAGCATATTCTTACTTAAGTATTGTCCTAATCTGAATCTTGTCTACATTCAAGAACTCCGGCATGGGTATGGTGACGCTTTATACCTAAATTGGCTGGCCCAGCTGATGATATAGGTCAATGATTCTCATCCAGGGTCCCTCGGCACTCTTTGATACCTTTAGATCCTTTCAGTGGGGTTTGGGGGTTGCCATGTAACACTGGCACTGTTAGATATATAAGCATGATTCACAAGATAAACCCAGAGATTTCAAAAAGGAATCCACTGTGTTAAAACCATTCTGACCTGCTGTGGTCTTTCTGAAATCTTTGCAACAGAGGAACTGCTATACTATTTTTCTGTAGTGGGAAAAAAATGAGTGAGCTGGTATTTTCTAGTGGGTGCCTTGAGTTTAACAAGGGGTGCCTTGAGTCTACAAAGGCTGAGAACCACAGGTATAGGCTCAACCTGATGCGCTCCAGTCTTGGAGTACTAACACCCTGCAAGGCCTGATGACATGTGAAGACAGAAGAATTAGATAGGCAGGTGGGAGAAAAGGCCCGGCAAGTTCCTACCTTTGTTCCTGTGGGATAGGGCTGTTATTTGACATGGTGCATGTAGATGCAAAAGGACGCTGACAGGAAGGAGCCATCTGTATGTCAGTCCTCAGCAAAGCAGGATTGGTGCCCATGGTACTGTCAGATGTCACAACAGTATGGTTAAGGCCTTCTTTGTAACTTCGAGATTCTGTAGCAAATGAATTGAAAGACATGGGTGGGTGTTTTTTTTTTTTTTTTTTTTTTTTTTTTTTAAATCAGTCTTCTGAGAACTCAAGCACAGATTGTATAAAAGCATTTGCAAAATGCCCCTGTCCCTCCTGCTCAATGTAACAGGAGACGTGCTGTAGATTTCATACCTTTATTTAAAATCTTAGCTGTTGTCATTACACTTAAAGTTCCAACTTTACCTTACCTTAATTGTTGTAAATTTCTAGCAAAGGAACAATTGAGAGAGAGAGGGCAGATGGCACAGAACTGCACTACTTAAGTTGATTGATTTACTGTCCAGGGTATGTTCTCTAAACCTCAAGATGTGAACAGATAAAAATGAACTATTTAAAATTCTTTCCCCCATTCTTCACTCCCCAACGTAAGACAGAGACATTTTAATTAGCAGCATGTACAACATCTTTTATCCATTCGTCAGATACCTAAGCTTCCTGTTACTTAGCTACTGAGGTACATCCTGTTGGTCTAGTCTTGTCCATTGAGAAAAGATAGTAGGACACAACTGAGGTTAAAGGGCACTTGAGAGGGACTTGGCAGATCTGTGTTTAGTTCTTGGGACTGCTGAAGGCTTTTTTTCAACATCATTCATGATCCACCTCAGGGGTGTGGCTGCACCCCCCCTTTTGGATTGGACCACAGTGTGGGGGCCTCCAGGACTTTTAAAAGTTCCTAAAGCAGGTGAAAATACTTTGTCTTCCCCATCCTGCTCAAAGAACCATCCTCTCCCTGCCCCTTTCCTCCCCATCCCCGCCCCTCCTTTCCCTAGCTTGTGGTCATGACAGCAGAGAAGCACCAGAGCCATTCCTGCCTGCTGTGAAGGAGCTGTGCTCAGCTGGGGATGGGGACAAGGGCAGCAGGGATGGATAGGGGGTCCCCTTTCCCACACAGGGACTAGGCAGGGTGGAAGAAACTCTTCAGGAACTTTCCAGTTGCCCTGGTACCACTGTCCCCTCCCTAGCTGAGCCCAGCCCCACTCTGCCTTGCTGGATCAGAAACTTCTCTGCCCCTTCCCCACCCCATTTCACTTACTTGAGGGCTTTAAAAACTCCCCAGAGGCTCCCACAGTGTGATCTGTCCACGCTGGTGGGGCAGAGGAGGGTGGAAGCAGGGGGTGCTGATACCCCTGCAATAAGGGTTGCCTATACTGCACCCCACTTTAGGAAACCCTGGGTCCACCCCTGAACCACTTACACAAAAGAAAACATGTAGCCCACCTTGAACAGAAAGATTCTATTAGATCAGTGTGAGACTTATGTTCTTATCGTATATGTGTGTCCACACTGGGTTTAAGAGTTTAAGTGCTAGTTTCAAACTAATGTAATCTTAAAGCAACACAAAGTACTATGTGTAGACAAGCTCTTTGTTGAATCTGTAAAATTCTTATGTAAACAAGGCCTTGCACTCTGATCCTACAAACATTTCAGGATTTGAATAAGTTAACGTGCATGAATAGTTCCACTGACCTCAACCTTTGTAAACTGGAGCCTAACTACAGAGATTATATTATAATCTCCAGTTAACTTCTATCACTTGAGCCCAGAGACTTAAAAGAAGTTTGAACAAAACACAAAAAAAAGCACACCCTGGGGAACAATCCAGCATTGGCTTTGGGGAACACTTAAGATGAACCAATAGATCTTTCCCATATCTAAATATTTCTGATTCTGTGAAGAGGAAAAAGAAGAGGCTTTTATCCTTGTAAACTGAACTGCAGAACCAGCCTAAAGCACAATCTTTCTTTACCTTCAGTTCACAGCACAGCAAAGTGGTTATATCGGTTGAAAAAGGTAGATGTAGGTACTTAAAAGAAATGCCTGAGATAACAAAATCAATGCTTTGAGTGAAGGCTATTTGGATTCTTAACATAGCGCACATGCTGCAGGGAGTAGCAAGGTGCTAACCCCCAAAATTTAATTTCAGAGAAAGAAAAAATGTATTCGCAAGTACTATACTCATTGGAAAAACCAGGTCTACAAACTGAACTCTGAAGATATTTCAAAGAGGGACTTTCCTACTTTTAAGAAAGGGGGAAATTTGAAAATTCTGAATCCGTACCTGCTGTAGAGCTGCAGAGTAGATTATGATCTTTTTTACACTGGTATAATATGGCCAAATATCAAGCCTCTAATGTCAAAGCACTGTAGAGCCAATTCTACAGGGCTGATTTTGGCTTGGCTTCTGTTAGAATCAATAGGATCCATGTACACTAGTTTTTAAAGGTGCGATGTTACAGGTTCAAGTTGGATGGTTTTACTGTATATTAAAGTATAATTTCTTTGCTTTACCTATTGTTTTAGAAGGTGTTATCAGTAATTAGGCTGAACTACATAACTCAACCTAACAACACATCTTTAACATCTAATCTAGATGGGACCTTCAAGATAGAGGTGCACTGACATATCAGTCGCATATTAGATTGGCACCAATAAAAGGAAAATTAACATTATTGGCAGTTGGCTTTTTTTGGTCGGTGTAGCCAAAATGTCACCAATAAATGCTGTGTGCATGTGCGCAGCTGCAGCATGGGTGTGACCAGAAATGCAGCCCAGCAGCTTGGAGAACAGGCTCCTGAGGGTAAGTCTGTGGAGGGGAAGGGATGGGGCAAGGAAGAGACATGGTGGGGGCAGATCAAGGTACCCATGGTGAGGGAAGGGCTGGGGCAGGGGCAGGCACTGCCCAGCCAAGGTGGTGAATGGACCCCAGGGTGGGGGGTGGAGCTGTGGGCAGCTCGTCTGGGGGGTACAGGGGGAAGGTGGGCACAGCTCCCT